TACCAAAACTGTTGTCCAGAGGGCTGAGGAAGGGTTGTTGAGGTGGTTCGGACATGTAGAGAGAATGGAGCGAAACAGAATGACTTCAAGAGTATCAGTCTGTAGTGGAAGGAAGGCTGGGTAGGGGTCGGCCTAGGAAAGGTTGGAGGGAGGGGGTAAAGGAGGTTTTGTGTGCGAGGGGCTTGGACTTCCAGCGGGCATGCGTGAGTGTGTTTGATAGGAGTGAATGGAGACAAATGGTTTTTAATACTTGAAGTGCTGTTGGAGTGTGAGCAAAGTAACATTTATGAAGGGATTCAGGGAAACCGGCAGGCCGGACTTGAGTCCTGGAGATGGGAAGTACAGTGCCTGCAGTTTGAAGGAGGGGTGTTAATGTTGCAGTTTAAAAACTGTAGTGTAAAGCACCCTTCTGGCAAGACAGTGATGGAGTGAATGATGGCGAAAGAAGTTTTTGTTTTTTGGGCCACCCTGCCTTGGTGGAAATCACCCAGTGTGTTAATAAAAAAAAATGCTGCTTCAGAACAGGTGTCCTAACCTCGCCTTGCAACACGGTACCCACCCTTTGTGGAGGAACTCTCCAGATAAGTACGGCCTGGTGGCTAAAGCTCTCGCTTCACACACAGAGGGCCCGAGTTCGATTCCCGGCGGGGTGGAAACATGACTCACGAAATCGTAATGACACGATTGCAAACAAACCATACTACGGGTGGGGTTTGAACCCGCGGTCAGTGTGTCTCAAAACTGTAGACCGTTGGATGAATCTTATTGAAGCTAGCTGGCCCAGTGGCTAACTCGACGGTCTGGAGTTTTGAGACTGACCGTGGGTTCAAACCCCACATGTGGTAGTTTTTTTTTTTTGTGTGTGTGTGAAAACATTTCGATGCGTTTCCTTACACTGTTGTCATGTTCACTTAGCAGCAAATAGGTACCTGGGTGTTAGTCGACTGGTGTGGGTCGCATCCTGGGGGACAAGATTGAGGACCCCTCCGGGGTTAAAAATCTGAAGAAAATCTTAAACATATGACAAGTAGTGGTCAACAGAGTTAAATCGGAGGCTGCCATAGTGAAGAGCTCTGTTCCACAAGGCACAGTACTCACCCCCATCTTATTCCTCATCCTCATATCAGACATAGACAGAGATATACATCACAGCACCATATCTTTTGCAGATGATACTAGGATCTGCAGGAGGCTGTCATCTACTGAGGACACGGTTAACCTCCAAGAAAATATAAACAAAGTTTTCCAGTGGGCAACGGTAAACAATATGATGTTCAATGAGGACAAATTCCAACTACTCCGTTATGGAAAACTGGAGGAGATAATAACTAGAACAGAGTATACTACAAACTCTGGCCATACAATAGAGCAGAAAAATAATGTAAGGGACCTGGGAATAGTAATGTCTGAGGATCTCACTTTCAAGGATCACAACAGTGCCACGATCACAAGTGCAAAGAAAATGATAGGATGGATAATGAGAACGTTCAAAACGAGAGATGCCAAGCCAATGATGATCCTTTTCAAATCACTTGTTCTCTCTAGGCTGGAATACTGCTGTACATTAACATCTCCATTCAAAGCAGGTGAAATTGCAGATCTTGAGAGTGTACAGAGATCCTTTACTGCACGTGTAAGTTATGTCGGGCACCTTAACTACTGGGAACGCTTGGAAGCACTTGACTTGTACTCGTTGGAACGCAGGAAGGAGAGATATGTGTATCATAATCTACACTTGGAAAATCCTAGAAAGAATGGTAATAACACCAGGAGGCAGCTCTGATGAAAACTCACACTCACACGAGCTTTTAAATCTCTGCACAAAATTCAATTTAAACCAGCAAATAATAGAGCCTACTAGACTGGAGAATACACTAGACCTCATCTTCACTAACAATGATGATCTGATAAGAAATGTCACCATATCAAAAACAATATACTCAGATCACAACATAATTGAGGTTCAGACATGTATGCGTGGAGCCCCAGACCGACAAAATGAGACTAGTCACGAGGGAGCATTCACCAAATTCAACTTCAATAACAAAAACATAGTGGGACCAAGTAAACCAAGTCCTAACCGATATAAGTTGGGAAGATATACTAAGCAACACAGACCCAAACTTATGCCTAGAACAGATTAACTCGGTGGCACTCGATGTATGCACAAGGCTTATTCCTCTAAGAAAAAGGAGGAGTAGATGTAAAATAGAAAGAGACAGGCGCTCCCTTTACAGGCGACGGAAAAGAATAACAGAGCGGCTAAAAGAGGTCAATATATCTGAAATGCGCAGGGAGACACTGGTCAGAGAAATAGCAATCATCGAACTTAAGCTAAAAGAATCCTTTAGGAGTCAGGAATCGCGGAAGAACTAAATGCCAATAAATGAAATCGAAAGAAACCCAAAGTATTTCTTCTCCTATGCCAAATCAAAATCGAGAACAACGTCCAGTATTGGGCCCCTACTTAAACAAGATGGGTCCTACACTGATGACAGCAAGGAAATGAGTGCGCTACTCAAGTCCCAATATGACTCAGTTTTTAGCAAGCCGCTAACCAGACTGAGAGTCGAAGATCAAAATGAATTTTTTATGAGAGAGCCACAAAATTTGATTAACACAAGCCTATCCGATGTTATCCTGACGCCAAATGACTTCGAACAGGCGATAAATGACATGCCCATGCACTCTGCCCTAGGGCCAGACTCATGGAACTCTGTGTTCATCAAGAACTGCAAGAAGCCCCTATCACGAGCCTTTTCCATCCTATGGAGAGGGAGTATGGACACGGGGGTCGTCCCTCAGTTACTAAAAACAACAGACATAGCCCCACTCCACAAAGGGGGCAGTAAAGCAACAGCAAAGAACTACAGACCAATAGCACTAACATCCCATATCATAAAAATCTTTGAAAGGGTCCTAAGAAGCAAGATCACCACCCATCTAGAAACCCATCAGTTACACAACCCAGGGCAACATGGGTTTAGAACAGGTCGCTCCTGTCTGTCTCAACTACTGGATCACTACGACAAGGTCCTAAATGCACTAGAAGACAAAAAGAATGCAGATGTAATATATACAGACTTTGCAAAAGCCTTCGACAAGTGTGACCATGGCGTAATAGCGCACAAAATGCGCGCTAAAGGAATAACAGGAAAAGTGGGTCGATGGATCTATAATTTCCTCACTAACAGAACACAGAGAGTAGTCGTCAACAGAGTAAAGTCCGAGGCAGCTACGGTGAAAAGCTCTGTTCCACAAGGCACAGTACTAGCTCCCATCTTGTTCCTCATCCTCATATCCGACATAGACAAGGATGTCAGCCACAGCACCGTGTCTTCCTTTGCAGATGACACCCGAATCTGCATGACAGTGTCTTCCATTGCAGACACTGCAAGGCTCCAGGCGGACATCAACCAAATCTTTCAGTGGGCTGCAGAAAACAATATGAAGTTCAACGATGAGAAATTTCAATTACTCAGATATGGTAAACATGAGGAAATTAAATCTTCATCAGAGTACAAAAACAAATTCTGGCCACAAAATAGAGCGAAACACCAAACATCAAAGACCTGGGAGTGATTATGTCGGAGGATCTCACCTTCAAGGACCATAACATTGTATCAATCGCATCTGCTAGAAAAATGACAGGATGGATAATGAGAACCTTCAAAACTAGGGAGGCCAAGCCCATGATGACACTCTTCAGGTCACTTGTTCTATCTAGGCTGGAATATTGCTGCACTCTAACAGCACCTTTCAAGGCAGGTGAAATTGCCGACCTAGAAAATGTACAGAGAACTTTCACGGCGCGCATAACGGAGATAAAACACCTCAATTACTGGGAGCGCTTGAGGTTTCTAAACCTGTATTCCCTGGAACGCAGGAGGGAGAGATACATGATTATATACACCTGGAAAATCCTAAGGGGACTAGTACCGAACTTGCACACGAAAATCACTCACTACGAAAGCAAAAGACTTGGCAGACGATGCACCATCCCCCCAATGAAAAACAGGGGTGTCACTAGCACGTTAAGAGACCATACAATAAGTGTCAGGGGCCCGAGACTGTTCAACTGCCTCCCAGCACACATAAGGGGGATTACCAACAGACCCCTGGCAGTCTTCAAGCTGGCACTGGACAAGCACCTAAAGTCAGTTCCTGATCAGCCGGGCTGTGGCTCGTACGTTGGCTTGCGTGCAGCCAGCAGCAACAGCCTGGTTGATCAGGCGCTGATCCACCAGGAGGCCTGGTCACAGACCGGGCCGCGGGGGCGTTGACCCCAGAAACTCTCTCCAGGTAAACTCCAGGAATCTGCACACAGAAATCACTCCCTACGAAAGTAAAAGACTGGGCAGGCGATGCAAAATACCCCCAATTAAAAGTAGGGGTGCCATTGGTACACTAAGAAAACACCATAAGTGTCCGGGGCCCAAGACTGTTCAACAGCCTCCCATCAAGCATTAGGGGAATTACCAATAAACCCCTGGCTGCCTTCAAGAGAGAGCTGGACAGATACCTTAAGTCAGTGCCGGATCAGCCGGGCTGTGGCTCGTATGTTGGCCGCACGCAGTCCACCAGTAACAGCCTGGTTGATCAGGCCCTGATCTACCGGGAGGCCTGGTCATGGACCGGGCCGCAGGGGCGTTGATCCCTGGAATAACCTCCAGGTAAGTGGTATTTATCTTTTAACAGCATGATTTCCAGCAGCCGTTTCCTGGAAATGCCTTCGGGTTGCTGTAGCAGTGTCCATGTAGGTTTTTGAATAACCCTCCAATACAGCCATTCTGGCACCGCCCCTGGCTTTAATGACTCAAACTTGTATTTTTCAAGTGAATGGGAAAGGGGCGTGCCTTGTTGCTGGTGAAGGCCTTTTAAACCAAGGAATTGGTGCTACCCTCCCATTCCTCTTATCAAACCAGATTGCCTCCTAATCACTTCGAGTTTAGGCTTTCCTGTGACTATATAAATTAATAATGAGAGTTGTATGCCCACAGATAGCATGCGTGTCCCCGGCCAAGTCTAACATCAGCGAGACCATCAACACACTCAGATATGCTGCTAGAGCTAAGCGTATACGTACCAAGCCCATCATTGTCATGGTCAGTACACACAAGTTCATAATCATCATCACTAGATAAGTGTATTATAATAATAATGTCGACTTATATTACTCATCACTAGACACCTGGTACTGAACATTTTATTCTGTCAAGGACCCCAATAGAAACGAGTCGCTTTGACTTGTTTACATTATCCTGGGTAATTTACACACGTTACTTTGTAAGATAATTGTAATCATTCAAAAATAGTGTAAAACTGTATCTAAATACACTTACTATAACCTGACATGCAGCTGCAGTAATTCACCACACATAGGTAACTCGTGCATTTATTTCTAGGAATGCATGTTACCTATGTTAAACTGCTATTAATGTTAAAAAAAATATATGTAGTCAACACCAGACTGACATTATCAAGCACTTTGCAGTATTTTATTCAGGGGAATGCTAACATTCCCCATTGCACTGTGTATCAATAGGAACATGAATTTTTATTTTAAATGAGTCTGATGGCTGTTATTTATTAAGTTTATTTAGGTACAGCTCCACATAAGTAGAGTATCATACATAATAACTTGTGTGTATTACCTAGGATGACCCCAAAAAAGTCAGTGACTTATTTCCATTGGGATTCCTTGTAATATCTTATTATTTATATTTTGGGTTTATTTTTTACCACTGTGTGGTGTTGAGATAGCACATTAAAGGAAGGTAGAGAATTATGCGATTGCAGCTACTCGCGAGTATGTACAAGTATACTATGTTGACAGATACTAAATTGTTATCTTTCTTTGTGAATTCCAGGACCCCAAGGAGAAGGTGATCATGAGTCTGCAGCGGGAAGTAAGTCTCCTGAGGGAAGAGAATGCCCATCTTAAGATGCTTATTGACCTGGGCGAAAGTGGTCAGTACATTTCAGTTCTTTATTTAGGAAAGTTATACAGTGTACAGATGTAATTATAGTAACAAATTGCATGGTTGTAAGAGATACTATTTTCAAAAGTGACATTTTTTGATGACGTAACAGTCCGCTAACACCCAGGTACTTACTGCTAGGTGAAGGAGAGAACAGGTGTAAGGAAACATGCCCAGTGTTTCCACTAATACCTGGGATTGAACCACAGTCACTCAATATGTGAGCTGAATGCATTGCCAACTGAGCCATGGGACCTAGATATCAGCTTCTGCTATTGCTATAAATCTTTCAGACATACTCGTCGCCTTACATGACATTCTCACGTTATAAATTCTTGGATTTATCCAAACCTTTAATATTGCAGAAGGAGTGTGTGTTTCAAATTAGCTAATTTATCTTTTATAAGACTTCAGTGCTTTGGAGGCAAACAGTAAAGCAGTGAATTGGGCAGATTTCTTAAGTGCTAACATGCTGTATTTTGCTTCACAGGTCTTCCTCAGGGTGGTCAACATACTACAAGTGGGCAGTCACCATCACTGGCCAATGATCCTAATATAGCAGAAAATGTCCCTAATACAGGTGAAACGTCAAGATGAGTTCGTATTTACAGAGTAAAATGTGTTTTGAGAATTTGAGAAAAATAAAGTTTTTGGCTATTAGAACATTTGTCACATTTACTAAATTCTGTATATAATTTTTTGAAACCCAACTTCTGAAGAACATTCTCCCAATTGATGTAAAACTGTTGAAATATATCACAAAATAAGTGTCTCAAATTCAAGGCAAGCCAATCTTAAATCTAGTAGGCCAGTATATTGTCTGATGGGCCATAGTGTTATGATTTTGTGAGACCATTCTTTAAATGTGTTGATTATTTAATTTTCTTGTGGCTATCTATGGAGAAGCTGATGACATTGTTGTTTGTGCCTAATGAAACCCGTTTTTACTAATAAAGATTCAGATCTAACTAATCTTTTCCAGCAGCCTTGCCACTGATGTCCCGCCAAGGATCTTTCAGAATAGACGATGAGAAGCTAGAGAACCTGGACAACCGGGAACTGATCAGACTTGTTCAACATTACATGGCAGAGCATGAAAATGTCCGAATGGAAAACAAGGAGCTGCAGGTATACTTTTCTGTCATTTGACTAATTTGTTAAGTCATCTAAGTTTGTGATTGGTAGGTCATTGGTTGATATATTGATGTGCAAATGAAAGATACTTTGACTTAACTGAATGGATATAAAAAGTATCTATTTCCTTCCCCTTTAGGCTACATTCATTATATTACATATGATTACTCTGTTTTTGTAATTATGTGGCTTCAAGAGTTTTTCTCGTGCAGGAAATAACGGCCGAATTGGTGCGGGACCAGGAGCTTGTATGCAAGGAAAATGAGCGACTTCTTCGAAAGTTGGAGGCTGCCAGCAGGTACTGGCATTTTCATAGAGCAGTAGTGACTGATGAATATGATGCTGCTGTTTCAGTTACTGTAATGATCTTTTATAGAACTCAGAATTTTTTAAATATATGTAGGCCTACAGTTATGTAATTTCAGGGTTTTCTTGCTGCTGTAATCATGCTGATGAATTCATAAAATTTCTTCATTTTCATTCATTTGTGACTGAAAAACTTTATCCTCAATAAGACCAATATCTTAAAATACACCAGCACTTTTAAGTTTGCATTATCAAGTTATCAGGGTTGAAGGGTGAAGCCAGTCAGATGAGGTATTCAGACTTCATTGCATGAATTCCAGTATTTCAGTTTTGCCAGTCTCCCATAAAACAAGGTAAATTGGGCCCTACTCAGGCCAAAATAAATCCAAACTTTACTCTAAGTAAAATTGACTAGCAATTAAGGTTTTAGTGCAGTATGTGAGTAACTAATTTAAACTTTGGGCCCTTAGCAGTCAAACTTTTAACAATAGTCTGGAGGGTGAACAGATGTTAAGGGCACATAAAAGAACATTATATAGATTTAACACCTAGAATAACCCAATCAAATCAGATATTGACTAATTTCTAATCAAAAGAAGCATTCTCCAGTTCTTTCACAAAAACCAGTTTGAGTAATAAAATTGGACCAAAAATGGAAACACATTAATATCAGTTATTCATATCTGTAGTAGTACCAACACTCTTATATGGGTGTGAAGCTTGGGTGGTAAATGCAGCAGCGAGGAGACGGTTGGAGGCAGTGGAGATGTCCTGTTTAAGGGCAATGTGTGGTGTAAATATTATGCAGAAAATTCGGAGTGTGGAAATTAGGAGAAGGTGTGGAGTTAATAAAAGTATTAGTCAGAGGGCAGAAGAGGGGTTGTTGAGGTGGTTTGGTCATTTAGAGAGAATGGATCAAAGTAGAATGACATGGAAAGCATATAAATCTATAGGGGAAGGAAGGCGGGGTAGGGGTCGTCCTCGAAAGGGTTGGAGAGAGGGGGTAAAGGAGGTTTTGTGGGTAAGGGGCTTGGACTTCCAGCAAGCGTGCGTGAGCGTGTTAGATAGGAGTGAATGGAGACGAATGGTACTTGGGACCTGACGATCTGTTGGAGTGTGAGCAGGGTAATATTTAGTGAAGGGATTCAGGGAAACCGGTTATTTTCATATAGTCGGACTTGAGTCCTGGAAATGGGAAGTACAATGCCTGCACTTTAAAGGAGGGGTTTGGGATATTGGCAGTTTGGAGGGATATGTTGTGTATCTTTATATGTGTATGCTTCTAGACTGTTGTATTCTGAGCACCTCTGCAAAAACAGTGATAATGTGCGAGTGTGGTGAAAGTGTTGAATGATGATGAAAGTATTTTCTTTTTGGGGATTTTCTTTCTTTTTTGGGTCACCCTGCCTCGGTGGGAGACGGCCAACTTGTTGAAAAAAAAAAAAAAAAAAAAAAAATTCATATCTGTCTTGCCAGAAGTACACAGACATCATAATTCAAATGACCTTACAGACCACAACATCCCCACCTCTTTTTCAAAGTGCAGGACTCATTGCCAGCTAACTGGTTTTCCTGAATCCCTTAACAAACGTTTCATTGCTCACACTCCCACAGCATAAGTCATAAAAACTGCTTGTCTCCACCCACATGATGCTGGATGCTTAACTCGAGTCTCCTTTACCCCCCCTCCCCTCCCCTCCCTCAAACTCTTCTCGAGGCACACTTACCCCTCCTTCCTTCCACCTCGGATTTATACTCCCTCTTGGTAATCCTAGTCTGCTCTAGCCTCTAAATGCCAAAACCACCTCAATCCCTCCTCAGGCCTCTGAATTGCATCTTTAGTAACCCACACCATCTAATTGTTTCCAAATTGCTATGCATCCTATGGACTTTCTGATTATTGTATATTTTGTATATGCAGTGATTTGAAATACACTATATCCAGATATATGCACTATGAATTCTTTGCATAATATTCACTCAACACATTGCTCTCAAATATGACATTTCTAATGTCTCCAGTTTCCTCCTTGCTACAACATTTAAAGTCCAAGCTTCATGTCCTTATAAAGGTGTTTGTATCACTATACACTGGTACTTTTCCTTTATTTACCTACAAAGATAAACTACAATCTTTCCCACAGATGCTTGAACAAGCCACCTACTTTTTTTTTTCTCCCTCTATTCTGTAGTAATTTATTTCGGTTTTCATGGACTTTTCTGCCAACATGTCCACCCCCAAATAGCTGAATACATTCACTTCCTTCATACTACCTATCATTACATACTCTCCCAAATTTCTCATCCAACTTTTGCAACTTCTCTTCAGCTGAAATCTCCCCAAAAACTTATCAAATTCATATGGAGCATGTAACGGCTTGGCACTCTTCAATGGCATACCAGATAGTTATTTTGTTTATATAGGTACAATATCATAAAAGATTTGTCAAACTGCATATTCTTTATGCATATTCATATTCAAACTACATATGTAAAGGAATTAAGAAAGAAAATCTGAGAGCAATATGAACTTAAGACCTCAACTTACGCATACAGTAGATGTAATCCATACAAGGGGTGCTGTGATGGCACAGAAGGGTTTTTGATCCAAGGAATTGGAAGTACCATTCCCTTTCTGATTTCCTTTTGTTTCCCAGGGATTGTAGACTTCTTTAAGTTCAGCACTTTTCCATGAATTTAATAATAATACTGTAAATATATATAATGCAGAAGCTTATCTTGCAATGAACTCTCTATTTCAGAGTTTCAACCTCAGATCCTAATGCTCAGAATGATGACAGGTGAGGAAATGCTTACAGGTCACAGATGTATGTATATGTGTGTGCTTGTATGTGCATATCTGCAAGTAAAATCTCTAATTGTTTTGGTACAGATAGGCCCTGCTTATACAGCAGGTTAAGTTTCAGACTACTGCTGTAAAGTGAAACATAGCCCTTTTCTCTTTTTCTGTTTTTTTCAAATGAATGTACAAACCTGATAACATGTTTATCCTATAATAATAATATATTAAGTGAGGAACAGAGCTAGGTTAAAAATTGCATATGTATATGTACAGTACACACATTACTTTCCTTAAAATATTTTCATCCTTAGCTTATAGTGAGTGGTGAATATATTTATTTTAGGAAGTCTGAATATGAAGAATGGGTTATAATTGAAAACTGCTCTATTACTGAAACTGTAATGTGGGGCCTTCCTGTATAATAGTGTAGAGCTGTTTTTATTGTTTAGTCTGTCATAGGGTATACATTTTTAAAGTTTCCAGGAGGCCTGGTCACAGACCGGGCCGTGGGGGCGTTGACCCCTGGAACTCTCTCCAGGTAAACTCCAGGTGTAGCACATACAGTATCTCCACGTGGATCTTATTCCAGCATTCTATGAATATTTGTGAAGAATGTGTGTTCTACTATCATCCTGGCATTACTTTTTTTTCAGTTTACAATTATGGCCTCTTTAGGTAGTATAGGTTGGTAGACAGCAGCCACCCAGGGAGGTACTACAATCCTGCTAAGTGAGTGTAAAATGAAAGTCTGTAATTGTTTTACATGATGATAGGATTGCTGGTGTCCCTTTTTTTGTCTCTCATAAACATGCAAGAGTTCAGGTGCATCTTGCTACTTCTACTTACACTTAGGTCACACTACACTTACATGTACAAGCATGTATATACACACCCCTATGGGTTTTCTTCTATTTTCTTTCTAGTTCTTGTTGTTTATTTCCTCTTATCTCCATGGGGAAGTGGAACAGAATTCTTCCTTAAGCCATGCGTGTTGTAAGAGGCGACTAAAATGCTGGGAGCAAGGGGCTAATAACCCCTTCTCCTGTATATATTAGTTAATGTAAAAGGAGAAACTTTCGTTTTTCCTTTTGGGCCGCCCCGCCTCGGTGGGATGCGGCCAGTGCGTTAAAAGAAAGAAAGAATTATGACCTCATACTTTTTTTTATACACAGGGTTTGACAAGGTTAAGGATCCCTAGTTTTATTGACAAGCTATTTACAGGTTAAGGATTCCTAACTTTATTGGCAAGCTAAGAGGTGTTACCTACATCAACTCATTTGAAAACATTTTTATTATGAGACATACAAGTAGGGAACAGGATGAAGTTGGAGCCATCTGTGGTCCAGCATTTTCATTTGATCAACTGACGTTATCTCGTTGACATCATTATGCTGTACGAATGTGTTCCATACTCGAGTCATCCTGGGTATATATGATCTCAGATGGAGTGATGTTCTGGAGAAGGGTATAGCCAGAGTTGCTGCTTTCTGCCCGTCTTGTGGCATAAAAGCTTGTTTCACGCTGTCCTCGAAGTGGATCCAAGTGTGGTACTTTGACAATATTGGCCTTGTACATAACAGTAAGGCCACCCACATCCCTCCTGTGTTGAAGGCTCTGCTGAAATGACAAATCTATCCAGGATGGGTCCAGGCGAGAGATGAGACGTCTTGCTCTGTTCTCTACTCTGTCAAGCAGTTGCAGATGAGAGGGGAGGGGGGCAGGCAAACCAAGAAAGTGGAGCATACTCAAGGTGTGAGCATACTTGTGCCTCGTACAGAATCTTGCAACCCCTACTGTCAAGCAGATGCGAGATACTGCAAAGTGCTGTAAGCTTCCTGGCTGCCTTGTTTGCAAGATTTACAACATGGTTCTTCATGGTTAGTTTGGAGTCAAATTTCACCCCAAGGATATCAACTTCTTCTCCAGGTGCCAACACCCTCCCATTCATCCTTATTACTGCACCAGCATTACCATCATGGTGCCTAGAGACGATCATCATTTGCGTTTTCTAAGGTGCAAATGTTACTTTCCATCTATTTCCCCAAGCTGATATAGCTCTCAGCTGGTGATTGATGTAGCTTAGAGCAGCTGGCATTTCTTCTCTTGGATAAGTGAATGTCAGTGTACAGTCGTCTGCATATGCATGTGATTCTGGGATGAGATGAAGGTCGTTGAAGTAGACATTCCATAACAATGGTCCCAGCACGCGTCCTTGTGGAACACTTGCCCCAATAGGATGTCTTGCTGATTCCGTTCCAATGAGAAGGTAATCACTGAGGAGACATAGAGTAGAGCCTGCAATTCCCAGTGCTTGAAGTTTTGCTAAGAGGCCCTGGTGCCACACCCGGTCGAAAGCACCAGCAATGTCCAGTGACTTTGGATTCATCCACTGACTGGTGCCACTTAGTGGAGAGGTTTAACAACAGATCAGCAGCAGAGTAAACTTTCCTGAAGCCATATTGACGATCACAAAATAGTGAGTGGTAGTCAAAAAACTCTGTCATTTGTCTTGAGATTATTGTCTCAAGGATCTTACCAGTGATTGACAGGAGTGACACTAGTCTGTAGTTGCTGATTTCTGCTCTTCTCTTCTTTTTGTGAACAGGGACTACATTTGCCTCATTCCATAGAGGGGGCCATTTACACTGTACTAGGTAGTGCTGAAAGATGCGAGTTAGAAGTGCTGCTAGCTGGTCTGCACATCTTCTCAATAATCTTGGGCTCAACTTCTCTGGGCCCACAGCCTTTTCTTGGTCAAGCAATTTAAGAAGGAAATGCACCTCCTCCTGCCTTATTGTCACCACTGACAGTTTTGACACGGTTCTTGCAGCTAGCCAAGGAGGGTCCCTTGCTGGATCAGGAACTTGCATTTTGTAGCAAAGTGTTCAACAAAGAGGTCCGCCTTCTCTTGACTACTAGTAGAGGTGGTCCCATCCTGTCGATTTGGAGGTGGAATGAGTTCATCTGGTCTGTCATTGACCAGGGACCACCAGGTTTTGGAGCCTACCCTACCTGATGCTAGCTTTCTTTTAGTGTCCACCTCCCATTTTGCGATGGCCCACTTTTGAACGTCACCCATGTGCCTACAGGCTTGCCTGTGCAAGTTCCTGTTATATGTGGTAGGATGTCTCTTATACCTTTGCCATGCTTTTTACTTAGCAGTAGCAGCCTCTCTACAACGAAAGCCAAACCAAGGCTGATCTGTAGGCTTTGTCACATATTGCCGGTGAGGAATGTGTTCTTGTTGTAGATTAAGGATGTGTCCAGTGAAGGCTTTCACTTGGTTGTCAACATCCCCTTGGAAAAGAGCATTCCAATCGGTGGTGGCGAGCTCAGAGCAAAGGGCTGGCCAATTACCTCTTTCCCATAGCCAGGTTGTGCGTGTGGACTCCTCACCTCGTTCTGTTGGGATCTTAAGTGTCGTAAAAACAGCCTTGTGGTCAGACGATCCAACATAGCCGAGGGGTTGACAAGTGACTATGCCTTCTGCCAGATCACTCGCTACTGGGTCAAGGGAGGAGCCAGAGATGTGAGTAGGGAAATCAACAAAGTTTCTCATGTCTCACACTGCAAGAAGGTCATCAAAGTCCCTCTGTATAAGGTGTTGGTTGAGGTCACCAACAATTATGATATGTTGACAGTTGTGTTGTAGCAGAAGGGAGTCAGTATTTTCCATTAGGAAGTTGATGGGGTCTGCATGTTGCCACTGAGGTCTGTACATTGCACATGCTAGTACAGAGGTACTAGTGTTTATGCAGAGCTTGAAGAACATCATTTCAAGATGTGTAGGGGTGGCAATATCAATGTGCTGGGTATGAACACTTTTAGAGAAGCACACAGCAACACCTCCTCCTTGCCCTTGCCTGTCTCTTCTCATTCATGAGGTATAGCCAGCAATTCTTGCAAAATTTTCTGGAGTCCTGTCATCCAAAAATGTTTCAACAACAGCTATCATGTCGGGACGTCGAGTGTTCACAAAACTGTGTGTGAGCTCTCCAACATTAGTAATGAAACCTCTAATGTTGGCTGACAGGATGTTGATAGACTGGCTCCTCATGATGATGTGGTCAGCTTGAGATGGTGAGTGTGTAGGGCATGTAAGGTGCCTGCCCTTGAGAGAGGTAGGGTACTGAGGCAGCTGCAGGGATGTAAGTCTGTGGTCTTGTATAAGGCACAATACCACCTGCTGGGCTGGGATAGGAGTAGCTGAGTGGGTGACATGTGAGTGTGTTCACCAATTCAGAGATCCTGCTGGTTTGTTCTGAGAACAGGTCTCTAAACACGTGGTCCCGTCTGTCAAGTTCCTTTTTCTTCCGACACTGGTCCTCCTGACGTCCTTTCTTGTAGCAGTAATTGCACCTGGTATCTCGCAGGCAGTTGTTGGCAGTGTGCCCCTTCCGGTGACAGCGAGAGCACAGCCTAGGTGCCTGGGAGGGTGGACTATGATTTGTTGCACCTCTTGTGTTTTGCAGATTTGTTCTCAGGTTCTGCCGCTGGAACTGTGTTAGTGGAGGGTGAGACAGCTGTAGATGTCTTCCTCCTCCACATTCTCTGCCCCGTCCTCTACCAGTTCTGACAGATGTGTCCCTGCTGTTCGTACTTTGGCGCAGTAGGTGATCAGGTGAAGTGATAGTTCCCTGATTATTAACTGCACCAATCTCTGATGGAGAAACTCCTGACTCAGAACTTGCTGATGAAGCACTGCTGCCAGATTCTGGAATAGTGTCGGCAGGTGTGCTGACAGGTGTAGGATCAGAGATGGTATGTGCACTGTCAAGTGGACTGGTAGTGGCTGAAGCAGAGATGTCAGGTGTAGGAGAATTAACAGATCCAAGGCTTCCTTCGTTGCTGGGAAGAGGATTTGTTCCCTCTGTGGTGGTCGGAGGAATTGTGTTAGAATTCTGTCAGTCTGTGGGACCTTGGCAATGACTGAATTCCACCAATTATTTACCCCTGAGTTAAGCTCAGTGTGGGACTTCGTCTTTGTCAATAGTGTCACCATCAGCTGAGCAGCTTACGTCACTTGATGTAGGCTTGCACTGACCTACAATAGCTTGGAGGTTATCTAATGATTTGAGGAGCTCATGAAGTGCTTCCCTGTGATGGATTATCTTAGCTGCAACTTTACAACACAGCCCAAGAGGGCAGTCTTGATCTTTAGACAGAAGTCCCTGAGGTAGGACTTCTGAACCTTCCTCCTGTAGCTCCAGGCTTGTATCCACATATATCACAGGATTATGGATATCCTTCAATTTTCTGAAATTTTCAACCTGGGTGCAACAAAATTCTTTCTCTGGAATGCAATCTGTGTGGCAGTAGTTGGAACAAGTAGGTTCCTTACATCTAAGAAGAATTTTGTCCTTTGTGGTATACCCACAAACACTGCAGTAACTACTGGGACATTAGCCAGATAGCGTAGATATTCTTGCTATTTTGCGATGTGAAGTCATCTCAGAGGAGGCTTGTAGGTTTGCAATGAAGTTCACAAGAGAGAGAGAGGGTGGGTGGTGGTATTCTGGGTTGGGTGGAGTATCGTGGGTGGGGGTGTTTATAGTGGGGTGGATAGTGAGGGCAGACAGTGGGCCGACGAGCTGGAAGTGTTGCCTTCTCACTATCACTTAATAAACACTGTTTATGCTATCCACTTTTCCACTAAAGGAAGATGTTACACAAATCACTATGTTGCATTGTACCAGTCACGTTGTTAAATTAGACACATGTGCAACTCTTGGGTATCTTTATTGAGGAAACGTTTTGCCACACAGTGGCTTCATCAGTCCATACAAAGGATAAACTTGAAGAACAGGAGGAGAATGAGGTAATCAGTCCCTCAACCTTGAGTCGATGTGGTCAGTCCATCAATCTTGAGTAGAATACGGCATATGAGCGGAGAAGCAGCTTATAAACCGTATGGCAGGAGAGGTGCAGCAGTCGTAGGTGGTGTCACATTTGTCCAATGTGGAAGTAGGTCGTGCCCAAGGGTTAGGCAAGCGAAGATTTCCCAAGTACAGTGGACCCCCGGTTAACGAACTTTTTTCATTCCAGTAGTATGTTCAGGTGCCAGTACTGACCGAATTTTTTCCCATAAGGAATATTGTGAAGTAGATTAATCCATTTCAGACCCCCAAACATACACGTACAAACGCACTTACATAAATACACTTACATAATTGGTCGCATTTGGAGGTGATCGTTAAGCGGGGGTCCACTGTATTAAGATCCCAAGAAGTTGCAATGTCTGACAGGATTGTAGATGAATGGTTCAGAGAATCGACACGTTGTTAAATTAGACACATGTGCAACTCTTGGGTATCTTGTATGGACTGATGAAGCCACTGTGTGGTGAAACGTTTCCTCAATAAAGATACCCAAGAGTTGCACATGTGTCTAATTTAACAACGTGTCGGTTCTTTGAACCATTCATCTACAAACCAGTCATGTTGTTATAAAGCACCCAAGTGCTAGTGCATAGCACAAAAGACATATAATATTAGATGCTCACTGTGAAGGCAGTAGTGACGTCACTCCTAAGGCCTGCCGCTGTCCCCTCACTCACACCATATCTTCACCATACCGCACTTAAATATCACTGATATTGCTTATATTCACTTCAGTGGAGGAGTTGGCTTACTTGTACTAATGTGTTGTAGGTAGTACTTTGTCACTGAACAGTTTTCATCCTCATCAACCCTCGTATTTAAATAATATTAAGAAAGTTTGTGGAGCACACTGTGACACGTCTTCACCCTCTCTCTCTTAACTTATTTTCGCATCACCTTTTATGATATTATGTGTGCTTATTCTGTCTCATTTTTTTCCTCTTATCAAGCAATGCAGAAATCCTAATGATCATACTTTACACTTATAAATATGTACAATACTCATTTTTGTTAATATGATGTGCATATCCATCAATTTTACTACTGTATGTGATAGGTAAACCTGAGAGATAGTAATATCTATGTAAAAGTAGCTCCAGCCCTGCCAGAACAAAACCCTGTGAAACTCCCTTAGCTCCTGAAGTCTTATGTAAGACTTGCCCTACTAAAATCTCCCAATTCAGGCTGACAGATATCATTACATTATGTGGAAACCATCCAGTTTGATTGATGCGTTAGGTAAATGTAGTTACTGGTTGCTTTAACTTGGTAAAACGTCATGTTGATTCAAGAAGCCACAAAAAATAATGACTGTTTTGTGCACAAGATTATAACAAATCTCTGTATGGAAGTATGTAGATAGTAAATGTAGATGGAAACCTTATTAAATCTTGTCCAAACTGCTATGCATTAAACACTTTTTAGAATGTTTTTACAGTAAACAATCTGCCACTGTAACCTCATGTAGAGAATTGAAGATAGAGCTTATATAGCAATGATGGGGCTTTGTAATGTAGATAGGCATTTTACATTTAAAAATGACTCTAGGGATACATAAAATAGTACATATGTATAAGAATTCTGTCTTAGATATCATTATATTACATTATCAGTAGGCTCCAGAATGCTCAACTTTTTTTTTGAACAGTGTGTCCGGAAATCCTGCCGCAAGTGGTGAGAACCAGTTAGATTCTTCTTTAGCCACTAATACTTCTAGCACGAATCGTGGGAGTAAAAGAGGCTCTAAAATTTCTTCTTTTAGATCTCGTTCTCTACCATCCTCGTCGTCATCACAAGTGTGGATAAATCCTCTCAATGACACCAGAGGAAAGGTAAGGATGTATCCCATTTGTTGATAAATTGAAATTTTAATAAGGAACAAACAGTAGAGTAGAGAATCTGTTAAAAATATTTTTGTTATAAAAACTTTCTCAGGTCTTCATAAAATGCACAAATGCATATATGTACATCTTAGCAGAGTAAAAGGAAGATAGTAGGGCTGGGAAAAAGAGTAACCTCAGGTACAGAAATTGATAATCTTCATCAGCATAGCAAAGTCAAAGACAGAGTGATATTAGAGGGGAAGAGAATGTATACTGGTCTGTTCTGTAAACCCAAGACAATTAAATAGATATCATTTAAAGTCTTTTATTTAGTTATTTAGCAGTGATTGTTTTTTTTTGCTCCAGTTCAATAATATACAAGTAAATATTCCACTCCAAAGTAAAGGAATCCTCCCTGTCAACTGCTGATGGATAAGCTTAAAACTTACTACTCATTGAAGTCTTGCCCTAAATGCTAAGCATAATATGGATTTTGTAAAATTTTCCTATTTACATTATGACTACATTGTTCCCTTATCTATGTCTAGTATAACTTTTTTTGCAAATAAATATCCGAGTCTGAAACTCGGCTTATCTTCTATAAGCTGAAGTGTTGCTCCCAAGCAGGAACTTTGAATGTCACTTGTTAGGAACCTTGTGGTAATGTTACAACAGTGTGGGCTAATTGCTGCTGTTTTAGTTGATTAGTTTGCTTGAGGTGATTATAGAGCTCTTTGTTTCATTATGCTTTCTGAACTTTGTCATCTTCTATTATGTAACTAATTGTACAGGGTATCCACAAAAACACTCGCTGATTTCAAACAAGTATAACATGTAACTTTGTTGTAATAATCTTTCACGGTTAGTAGCTTCAGATGCAGGATTTCATTGTTTCATGTGGTATAGGGTAGCACTAAAGGCACTCAATGTGCGCCCCTCTGGTTGCTTGGCTAACATTGATGCGATAGTCCAGTTCGGTCCAGACGCTCTGCAACATATCTGGAGTTATCATGCGAACTGCTTCAGTGATCAAAATTTTCAGCTGCTCCAGGGTTGCAGGTAGTAGTGGTATGTAAACTGTGCTCTTCACGTACCCCCAAAGAAAGAAGTCAGTCAGGTCCAGTGACCTCTACAAGTGGCCTGTGAGGTTATCAGACCTAACTGTTTGTGACTTTTCTTTGGGGGTACGTGAAGAGCAGAGTTTACATACCACCACTACCTGCAACCCTGGAGGAGCTGAAAATTTTGATCACTGAAGCAGTTCTCATGATAACTCCAGATATGCTGCAGTGCATCTGGACCGAGCTGAACTATCGCATTGATGTTTGCAGAGCAACCAGAGGAGTGCACATTGAGTGCCTTTAATCTTACCCTATACTACATGAAACTGTATAAAATCCTGCATCTGAAGCTACTAACTGTGAAAGATTATGACAATAAAGTTGCATGTTGTACCTGTTTGATATCAGGGAGTGTTATTGTGGACACCCTGTATAACAAATTTACGTTTTTCAGGATACTGGTTCAGCTACAAGTAGGAGAAGTGATAACACAGCACCACAAGAGTCTCCACAGCGTCCTCATCATCTACCAGACTCTATCAACAAGGAGCTTGAGAAAAGACGTATTGGCAAAAGGTAGCATGACGAGTGGAGTTGCATTATCAAATATATTTAACTGCGAGATGTTGCAGTCACTGTACTCTGCCTTTTTATTCTTCTACAGTAAATATATTTCACTGCCTGCAGCATGACAGACTTGTCAGGATCAGGAGGGTCAACCAACAGTGGAAAGAGCAACGGAGGGAGGCTCAACACTTCTGATGGAAGGAATGAGTCTGAGTTCATACTTACAAGGAGGGCACCACTCAAAAGCAAGAGTATATCACCGGGAGTTGCTGCTGGTAAAAGGTATGCTTACTGAGCCACTGTCACAATTTTGATGAAAACACTGCCAAATAGGTAGTACCACAGCATGTAGTAAATATTGTAGGTAATCCTGTTGTTGTGGGTAGTAGGTTGGTAGCAACCGCCCAGGGAGGTACTACCATCCTGCCAAGTGAGTGTAAAATGGAAGCCTGTAATTTTTTACATGATGGTAGGATTGCTGGTGTCTTCTTTCTGTCTCATAAACTTGCAAGATTTCAGGTATGTCCTGCTACTTCTACTTACACTTAGGTCACACTACACTTGCATGTACAAGAATATATATAAACACCCCTCTGTGTTTTCTTCTATTTTCTTACTAGTTCTTGTTCTTGTTCTGGTTTATTTCCTCTCATCTCCATGGGGAAGTGGAATAGAGTTCTTCCTCTGTAATCCATGCATATCGTAAGAGACAGCTAAAATGCCGGAAACAAGGGGCTAGTAACCCCTTCACTTGTATATACAGTGGACCCTCGTTTTTTGTAATTAATCCATTCCAGAGAGTGTGATTAATGGAGAAATTGACAATTTGCGAAACCATTTTCCCATAAGAAATCATGTAAATCCAATTAATCCGTTCTAGACAGCCCAAAAGTATTAAAACAATTTTTTTACATGAAATATAGATGCATATACACAGAAAACAATGAGAAATGAAATAAAACAATAATAACATGACACTTACCTTTACTGAAGATTCGTCTTAGTGTATGGAAGATGGGAGGAGGGGAGACGATGGAGGAATTACTGTTTGGAAGGGGAATTTCCTTCCATAAAGACTTCAGATACCAAGTCCTTTTCCAGGGTTACTTCCCTTTCTTTGTGTTTTAATGCCACTAGGACCAGCTTGAGTCACTGCACACCTGTGGCACTAAATATCTGTCCAGAGAGCTCTGTTTCTGGCATCTCTAAAATTTCCCTAAAATGGGACAAGACATTGTCATTGTACATGTTGCCGACGCAGCTTGCAAGAGCTTTGTCAGGGTGATGTTCCTCCACAAATCTTTCCATCCTACTCCACATTGCACAAATCTTAATCTCTGAAGGCACCTTCCATCTCTCTCCCTCCTCCTCTGAAGCAATTTCCTAAGCTGTGGTCTGTTGCTGCTAGAGATGAAGCTCTTGCAGCTCTTCAGTGGTTAGCTCTTCATTGTAGTCCTCCATCAACTCTTCCACATCCTCGCCACTCACATCCAACCCCATAGAATTCCCCAATGCCACAATAGATTCCACAACTGGCATAAGGTTCTCAGGGTCAGCCCCAAACCCTTCAAAATCCCTCTCTAGGACACAATCTGGCCACAGTTTTCTCCAAGCAGAGTTCAAAGTCCTTACCTATAAGGTTTATGCAATGGAGGACGTAATAATGTTGGTAGAATTACTGACAGTATGTAAAGTAAAAGGACACAACGTTTCGCTCTCCAGGAGCTTTGTCAAGCCATAATGGCTTGACAAAGCTCCTGGAGAGCGAAACGTTGCCACTATAAAAATATCACATTAGTTGCACTTACCTGGAGTTTACCTGGAGAGAGTTCCGGGGGTCAATGCATCCTGGTGGATCAGAGCCTGATCAACCAGGCTGTTACTGCTGGCTGCACGAAATCCAACGTACGAGCCACAGCCCAGCTGGTCAGGTACCAACTTTAGGTGCTTGTCCAGTGCCAGCTTGAAGACTGCCAGGGGTCTATTGGTAATCCCCCTTATGTATGCTGGGAGGCAGTTGAACAGTCTCGGGGCCCCTGACACTTATTGTATTGTCTCTTAACGTGCTAGTGACACCCCTGCTTTTCATTGGGGGATGTTGCATCGTCTGCCGAGTCTTTTGCTTTTGTTGTGAGTGAGTTTCGTGTGCAAGTTCGGTACTAGTCCCTCTAGGATTTTCCAGGTGTATATAATCATGTATCTCTCCCACCTGCATTCCAGGGAGTACAGGTTCAGGAACCTCAAGCGCTCCCCGTAATTTAGGTGTTTTATCTCCGTTATGCGCGCCGTGAAGGTTCTCTGTACATTTTCTAGGTCAACAATTTCACCTGCCTTGAAAGGTGCTGTTAGTGTGCAGCAATATTCCAGCCTAGATAGAACAAGTGACCTGAAGAGTGTCATCATGGGCTTGGCCTCCCTAGTTTTGAAGGTTCTCATTATCCTCTGGGAGTATACTCGGCTAGGTATTGCACACTAATCCTCCTTTATGACTCTGTATGTACTATTTTCTCCCCAAGATTGGTTCCAAGTGCTAGAGGGATGTATCGTATAAGATCGCTGGCACAAATTAAAGTTCTGGCACGTAAGAGAGACCATGAAAACACGGGAAAACACGGAGCACAACGAGGCACGGCAGTGGCAGGTGCCTTAGCAGGTGTCCTTTTACTTTACACAATGGAGGATATTGAAGTGATCTTTCCAGAACTCTCTTAGGGTCAATTGAGTGTCTGAGGTCACATCAAAGCACCTGTGAAACATTGCTTTGGTGTAGAGTTTTTTGAAGTTTGAAATGGTCTGCTAGTGCATGGGCTGGATGAAAGGAGTGGTATTAGGGGGCAAGAACTTCACTGTGATGAAGTGAAACTCCTCCATTTTTTCATCCAAGTCTGGAGGATGAGCAGGTGCATTGTCCATTACCAGAAGGCACTTGAGTGCCAGTTTATTTTCCAGGAGGTATTTCTTCAGACTGGGGCCAAACACTTTCTTGAACCAATCAAGGAAAATGTCCCTCATGACCCATGCCTTACTGTTAGCCTTCCACATCACACACGAGTTACTCTTGGCGACACTGTGTTTCTTGAACACTGGGATTTTCAGAGTGATACACCAGTAAAGGCTTCACTTTGAAATCCCCACTAGCATTACTACAGAACAAAAGTCAGCCTGTCTTTCATAGGCTTGTGTTCTGGCAGTGCCTTTTTCTCGTGTGTGATGTAGGTCCTCTTCAGCATTTTCTTCCAAAAGAGGCCTGTTTTGTCACAACTGAACACTTCTTGGGGTTAGAATTCTTCAGCCTCTATGTACCCCTTGAATTCACACATTTTCAGCCACATTATTTATCAGAACTGGCAGCTTCACCATGCCTTACCACACTGTGTATGCCACTATGCTTCTTAAATCTCTCAAACCAGCCTTTGCTGGCCTTAAATTTCACTAACGTCAGCACTCATTGCAGGCATTTTCTTTGAGATCATCATGCAACTGCCTTGCCTTTTCACAAGTTATCGACTGCATAACACTATCTCCTCCTAATTGTTTCTCATTGATCCACACCAACAATAACTTCTCAACATCTTCAAGTACTACTTGTAATCTCATTTTTGTGAGCATATTTATCCCTTTCGCAACAACAGCTTCCCTGATTTCATTTTTCTTGGCCGTGATGGAAGCAATGGTTGTATGGGGTTTCCCATACATCCTGGCAAGTTCTGCCACACGTACTCCACTTTCATATTTTGTAATACTGTCTTTCTTGAATTCTATCGTGTTTCTCACCTTTACCAAAGGGCTGGCACTAGAAGCTTTCTTTGGGCCCATGGTGGCTTATTTACCAGTTGCAAGCACTAAAACGAATGGAATATTACGAAATGTATCACATGAACACGTGGGATTGTGCTCACTCGTTGATCAACAATGGCACACACTGTGAATAGTGTGGGGCCGCTCGTACGTGTCTGGGATGAATGACTACGTATTTGAAAGTCAAAAGACAATTCGCGAGTCAATATTTTGACGAAAAAACATTACAGTTTGCAAAAATTACGAATTCCAATGATTACAAAAAATGAGGGTCCACTGTATTACTAAATTTAAAATTAGAAGCTTTAATTTTTCCTTTTCACCACCTTGCCTCGGTGGGATAAGGCCGGTGCATTGAAAGAAGAAAGAAGTCCTGCTGTTCCTGCTTCATTTATATAGTATTAGCATAAAATGTATTATGTATTTTGAGAGCATTTAGGAAAGGGATTCTTGATAAAAATATGTAGTTTATTGAAGTGTACCGATACACTTACTTCAGTATATATTTTGTTTTGTTCTGTAGATCCGGGGGTATTAGTCTAAAAACACTAAGCAGTAAACAATATAGTGTAGCTAGAAAGTTTCACACAACAATTATACAGTGGAGCCTCTACTATAAGCAGATGTCTATTCCTTACCATGTAATGTAGTGTAGGGCTCTAATGTAGTACATATAGTGGTTGATATTGGTGGATATCAGAAACCATCCTGACCAACACACAATGTTGAACAACCAGTAGTAATGAATTTAACTAAAAAAAAATTTTCTTGCATAAGTACACTAATTATGTACGTACTATAGTGAAAATCATAGTGAAGTGGTAGTGCATTCATCTCTTAATTGAAAGGACCCAAGTTCAATCCCTAGGTGAAGCAACATGTATGGGTAAGTTTCCTAACACCTGCTGACCATGTTTAACAATCAGTAAACAGATACTGTTCCTAAGAGTGTTAGTTGGTGGTTGAGAGTCTCACTCTGAGAAAAACCAAAGGGACCCAACAGAATAAGCCACACTGCTTGAATTAATGACCCTTTGGGGCTAATCAGAAGAAAGTTTTCCTCTATCATGTCATCTTATGTGTTGGCTGTTATGACTGTCCAAAATCAGATGCAACTTATTACCTGTCTAGCATAATGAGGAGGGTGTGATGGTTGGGAGGATAGCCAGGTGGTGGAAAGAGTTGATTGGTGGGCAAGGAAGAAGGAAGTCAAGACTGCACTAATTATGCGTCCTCTCATCCAATGACCCCACAGCAAATGCACAAGTTTTCCAGATTCTAAAATTCACAACACAATTGTGATTATTTGGGTGGTTGAAGTGACAGGTCAGTAGCATTGGCATCTATAGCCATGTATTGCTCCAAGTAACTTACAGGCATGGAGGGGCTGTTTGAATATTAGAAACTATGGAGCTGAATTCTTCTCCAAGCTGAGGGACTGGCCACCTCATAACTACATTTTCAAGGGTGATGGACTGATTACATCATCTGTACATCCCTACTGCTTCCGCTTCCTCCTCTGTATTCAACTGAAGAAACCTACAGTGTAGACAAAACGTTTCAGAATGGAGATACATAACTGTTGCGCATACGTCTTTCTTATGTATATTTATGTCCAAGATAGTATTTCAGGCTTCTTCCTGTCTCTCACTTATGTCAGTCCATGTGGTTGTCATAAAATATAAGATACATGTATATCAGGGCAAGAAGCTACAATACTATATTGTACCTTCTTCCTGGTAATCCAAAACCCACGTGCCTAGTATCCCATTTAGACCTATCACATTAGGTATTGATAGTGCTTCACAAAGGCTCAAAAGTCTACTTGCCGGTACTTCTCTAAATAACAGGGTACCATAAATCAAACCCATCTAAAATACTCTGATCATCTCTTATGTATATGGGACACAAATGTCAAAAGCAGAAATCTGGTGTGAGGGCTGTGATGAAATGTCTGGATCAGTGACTCGGACAACATGAATGTACCTGTAGCCAAGATGACATGAACAACATATGCTTGGTTTACTATAGTTTGCATGGCCATCCGATGAAGTGATAGAGAAGCCACGCTCAGTATCAGAAAATTCTATCTTCAGAAAAGATGCTACTTCAGGGCAACATTTATCTCCATTTCTGATGCTGTAGCACAGAAAAACATTAATATCAATATTTCAAACATGTTGGCCAATCTGATCTACCACAACAAGACACCAGTTTCAGGTAACCTGACCAACACATCATTGACCAGATGCCTCCTGCACCTGACTTGTCTTCCCTGTATATACTGATAATCTCTCACGTCTTTTATTGACAAAGTTCCCAGGAGTAAAGTAAAATTTCCGTAATAAAATATTTTGGTGTTGCATGAGTGTTTTAGTCATACATTGTTGATATACAGTACCAGGTTCCTTTAACAACCTGAAATCAAAACTATATTCATGATCTAGTTAAGGCTAAGTTTCTATTGACTTATGAAACTCTCAGAGCTCATAAGCACAACAGATTGTACTTGTCAGTAAAAGCTAAAGAACTAAAGAATATGTATGCTGTGTTAGGTGGCAGTGTGAGTATGTATTTGTAGCAAGGTGCGCTGCACACTGCTGACAAAGCGCTGAAATTTTTATTAATATGTGTCCATCTAAGATACTATTATCTTCACCACAAACATTGATATTTAAGGCTTGCAGGTTAAAGTGGTGAATAGTAGAGGTGCCACTGTATATTAGTCTAATCAGTCTATTTTGATTTACAAAAGTAAACATGCTTATGGATCAAATATTATGTCAAGCCAGCAAATGTAAAGAATTGCATCTCACACTTCACACATCTGCAATTTACATAATTGATAATGAGCTGTATTGACCAAGGAGATTATCAGATAGCTTTAGGACTAATGTTAGTGCTGTAAAAATATATTGGACTAGTACATAATGTAGTACACACTAAAATATAAAAATTACATAGTACTGTAATACAAATTTTGGTGAAAATTGAGCATTTAGTGAAAGACCTTGCATTAAATGTTAATGCTAAATTGAAACTTAAGTTCAAGAGGATTAAAAGGCAAATAAGGAATTAATGATGTAATAATAGTTGAAAATATAATTAATATTTAACAAAATAAGGTACATATAAGTTATAACTTGATCATAAAAGTTTAATAGCAGTTTAAGAAGTTAAATAAGAAATTGTATCAGGGAAAATGCATAAAGCACAGGTTTTTATTAGTTTTTGCTGAAATTCATTATGAAATTTTTTTTAGTTCATCTGATAGGTAAACAGGTAGATGTTCCACACCATTCTTTGTTGCTTAATGCTTTTGCATCTGCCAAAACAGCATTAATAATCTTTATTAACATCTGTCTTTTCACTAAAGTCCTGCATTGTACAATCAATCTGAAGCAGTTGATTAGAACACCACCAGCACTTCCTAAGCAATGTATACTCTAGTGCATTCATGCTATCTTCTAAATTATTTATTAACTCTTTGAAAGTGGCACCAGCCCTTCTTATCTTTCATTTCTGAAAAGGAATGCACTTACAACAAGTTCTGCAAATCAAGGATGAGGTGTACAAGAATTCTCAGTAAGAAAACAGTTACTCGTACCCATAAAACCTTCCAGTTCTGGCATTGGCTAGCCTACTTATTGTAGTATAGGTAGACATTTCCGATAGATTTGCATGTAATAATGTTGTAAAGTAGTTTATCTATACAGTATTTCCTTTATGATTAAGGGTGCTGCATAAATTTTACCAAAAAATATTTTAATCCATTCTTTGTCATTTAAAGTGATTCCATATAAAGCAAGATTTAGCATACAGCCTTTTGATGTGGTCATAATACTGAACTTGTATATAGTCCAGTAATACTTAAGTCTTGTTATGTGGCGGAGTCACCTTTTATGGCAAGCATGGTTTGCTGACCATGGCATGTTGCAGTGGAGGTCGAGGTAAGGCTCGCTCAAAGTCGGTGCCACGGCAGAAGGGTGGAGGACGGGGCGATATCCCCCGTGGTCCTGCTGCAAGAGGTACAGATCGTAAACCGAAAGGTATGCGGTCATCGTAGCTGCCTTGATCCATGTACCTGCCCACCGTGCTGTTGCCTGCCAGGTAGCTTGTCTGTCCAACACAGAAGACACTTGCTGCTCTCGCCATGCTCACTCTTGCCTCTCTTTACAGTGCTTTACTAAAATAGCACTTGATTTAAAGTACAGCATATTACATCCTTGCTTAGATCTGTATACTGTATTTAAAGTTGCTGAGCCTTGCCATACATTTTGTTGTACTAACTAGCTGAAATCATTTTTTTTAATTACTACCTAGATCTCTTTGTATCTACTGTATTTTTCATGATGTGTTTAACATAGCTTAGTAATCATATACAGCACAGGTAATCCACGCTTAATCACAGTGATGCATGCCACGAAAATTAGTCTGTTAAATGAATTTGTTAAAAAATTAATTTCCTATTATATAGGTGCTCTGTTATATAGGTCCTATTATATAGGGGTCTCGTAGCTCGATTGCTAGCGCACTCGGCTTGCACACACTGAGGTCCGGGAATTGATCGCCGGTACAGCTGGAAAACGTTATGATGTGTTTCCATAAGACACCTGCTGTACCCTGTTCACCCATCAGTAAAATAGGTACCTGGGTGTTACTCAACTTGTGTGGGTTGCATCATGGGACAAAATTGACCTAGTTTGTCCAAAATACTCTGCATAATAAGGGGCTTTCTATATAGTAGTACTGTATGTCATTGATGTCAGCTAGGCCTGTATACCTTGTACATGTACTTGTAGAAATAGATATTATTATTATTATTATTGGAGATGCGCAATATACTATATACCTGAAAAAACAGATCCCAGTGCCTTACGTAATTTTTATATTACAGCTACATTTTTATGGAAGTGTCATCATTTTAGATTAAATGTGTAATAATGTATATATTTTAGCTAAAAATTGATGTACAGTGGTACCTCGGTATACATCCTTAATCTGTTCCAGGACCTTGGACTTATACCAAACAGGACGTATACCAAAACAACTTTTCCATAAGAAATATAGGGAAAACGATTAATCCGTTCCCATGAAAAAAAAAATCCTCTTGTTATTGGCGTATTATACATTGATGGGGTTGTATAAAATAATTTAAACACTTCTTAATACTAAAATAAGTAATTAAAACACTGCTTAATACTAAAATACATACATAAATGCAAAAGAATTAATGTAATACAGTGGAACCTCAAATTTCGAAAATATTGCTTATCGAACTTTTCGAAAATAGACCGCTTTTTTCGAACCAACTTCGTCCCTATTATTGAACTCTCCCCTGTTTTTGAACCGCCGGGTACTGGACCTGTTCACCAGCCGCTCTGTCCGCATCCCCACACAGGCGCCTTGAGCCAGTCTGGCTTTGTTGATGCTTGAGTGAACACTAACCTGCGCTCTCGTTCAAACATTTTACGATTAATTCATTGTGTTTAGTGATTGTGGGACTGTGAAATAAGCTACCATGGGTCCAAAGAAACTTGCTAGTGGTACCCCTGTGGTAAAGAAAGTGTGAAACACCATAGATGTAAAGAAGGAAATAATACAGAAGTATGAGAGTGGTGTGAAACTTGTTGAGCTTGCCAGGACATATGGGAAAAACGAGTCGAACATCGCTTCTATCCTGGCAAAGAAAGAACAAATCAAGGAAGCTGATGTTGCGAAAAGTGTTAATATCCTAACCAAAAAAAGACCCCTCCTTATGGAGGGGGATTCCCCTTCGAAGCACTAACCCCAACTCCCTCTCTCTCCTCTTCCCTATCTTCCAGATGCCATCACCAATCTTCAATAAAGATAAGTAAAAATGTTATTTTATATGTTTATTTAAATTTATTAATACATAATTGTACACTATATTTGTTGTGTGTATGGAAAACTATAAGTAATCTCTATAAAATGTATTTTTTTTTTTTTGTGAGTATTTTTGGGTTTCTGTAACGGATTAATTGTATTTCCATTATTTCTTGTGGGAAATACTGCTTCGCTTTTCAAACTTTGTGAATTTAGAACTAGCTCCTGGAATGGATTAAGTTCGATATTTGAGGTTCCACTGTCAATACAAATTTAACCTCGCTTTACTTTGCTGAAAAGAGTCGAGTGCCTACTAGGATAGTGCTGAGAAGGGAGGAGGAGGAAATGTTATTGTTTGGAAGGAAAGTCGTCACCTCTTTTCTATCTCTTTTTTACCTATTTGGACCTGGTTGAAGCTCACCAGGTTTGACCTTTACTAAAAATCTGTCCAAAGAACTTTGTTTCTGCCTTCTTTTCAGGATGTTTCGGAAATGTGGCATTGTCTGGTCATTCTAGACAGTGCTATTATGGCTTGTTTGGGCTTTGTTGATGTGGTACTTCTCTGCAAAGTTTTTGGCGTCCATCCATTTAGCAAATATTTCCTTGATTAATGAAGTAGGGGCTTCCTCTCTCTCCTCTTCCAAGCCTGAAGAAAGTTCATCCATCTTAGTCTTGTGCTCCTCCTCCTCCTCCTCCTCCTCCTCCTCCTCCTCAAGTTCCTGCACCTCCTCAGTGGTCAGCTTTTCCCTGTGCCCCTCCACTAACTCCTCTACATCACCATCACTCGCATCCAGACCCATGGACCTGGTTAATGGTTAATGAATTTACTAAAAATTTATATGAAAAAACATAAAATCACGTGAAAATTCAGTTACAGCACGGGTTGTCCACTAAATGGTAGCAATGGGCATACTGATGCTAGTGGGCAGTCATGGCTTTGTCTTGAGAGAGGGGTAAACAAGGGTAGTGCTCATTGTCGTGACTCATTTTGATCCATACAAATTCTAGCACGTGAGTTGTATTCCAAACAAAGGTCGTATACCAAGCAAACATTTTTGCATCAAAACAGGACATATACCAAGTTGGACTTATTCTAAAGTGGACGTATACCAAGGTACCACTGTATGTATGTCATAAAATATCTCCAACTATTATGAAATGTCGAAATATTCAATGATAATATACATATTGACTTTTTATCGCTACCACCAACAGCACTACACTAGCACCATCACCACTTCACCAGCACCAACACTGCCACATATGCACAAAAAGGCATGTATTCAGGGAATGAATAGCACAGCTCAGTCCTCACACAAAATTAAAAAAAAACAATTAGGGAGATTAGTTATCAGTTGTTGGGCAGCTTCTTGGCATAACGACTTGAGGTGAAATGTGGTTATTTTTCCTGTCTTCTAACCATTAATACCCTAAAACTTCTATGATAAAGATTTATAAAATTTCAGTATTAATTTTTTTTTTTAACATCGGCCGTTTCCCACCGAAGCAGGTTCACCCATAAAGAAAAAGACCCAAAAAGAAAGAAAAAAAAACTTTCATCATTCAACACTTTCACCATTACCCATACATGATCACTGTCTTTGCAGAGGCGCTTGGATACGACAGTTTAGACGTCCCTCCAAACTGCCAATATCCTAAACCCCTCCTTTAAAGTGCAGGCATTGTGCTTCTCATTTCCAGGACTCAAGTCCGGTTAACCAGTTTCTCTGAATCCCTTCACTAAACATTACCCTGCTCACACTCCAACAGCTCATCAGGTTCCAAAAACCATTCATCTCCATTCACTCCTATCAAACATGCTAACGCATGCTTGCTGGAAGTCCTAGCCTCTCGCCCACAAAACCTCCTTACCCCCCCCCCCCTTCCTCCAACCTTTTCAGGGACGACCCCTACGTCTCCTTCCTTCCCCACCAGATTTAGACGCTATCCAAGTCATTCTACTTTGTTCCATTCTCTCTAAATGACCAAAGCACCTCAACAATCCCTCTTCAGCCCTCTGATTAATACTTTTAGCAACTTCACACCTCCTAATTTCCACACTACAAATTCTCTGCATAATATTTACACCACACATTGCCCTTAGACACGACATCTCCACTGCCTCCAGCTGCCTCCTTGCTGTAACATTTACAACCCATGCTTCACACCCATATAATTGTGTAGGTACCACTATACTCTTGTACATGCTCTTCTTTACCTCCATGGATAACGTTCTTTGTCTCCACAGATACCTTAATACACCACTCATCTTTTTTTCCTTCCCCAATTCTGTGTTATACCTCATCCTTCATAAACCCATCTGCTGTCGACTCCCAAATATGTGAAAACATTCACTTCTTCCAGACTCCCTCCAATGTGATATCCAATTTTCCTTTATCTAAATCGTTTGATACCTTCATCACCTTACTCTTATTTATATTCACTTTCAACTTTCTACCTTTACACACCCTCCCAAACTCGTCCACTAACCTTTGCAATTTTTCTTTAGAATCCCCCGAAATCGAAGAATCATCAGCAAAAAAGTAACTGTCAACTCCCATTTTGTATTTGATTCCCCATAATTTAATCCCACCCCTCTCCCCAACACCCTAGCATTTACTTCTTTTACAACCCCATCTATAAATATGTTAAAAAACCATGGTGACATTACACATCCCTGTCTAAGACCTACTTTCACTGAGAGGTAATCTGCCTCTCTCCGACACATCCTAACTTGAGCCTTACTATCCTCATATGCCACATTGTTCCCCTATCCATTCTATCATATGCCTTTATTTAAATCCATAAATGTAATGAAAACTTCCCTACTTTTATCTAAATACTGTTCACATATGTGCTTCGATGTAAATACGATCTACACATCCCCTACCCATTCTAAAGCCTCCTTGTTTATTTGCAATCCTGCTCTCTGTTTTACCTCTAATTCTTTCAATAATAACCCTAGCATACACTATACCTGGTATACTCAGTAAACTTATTCCCCTATAATTTTTACAATCTCTTTTGTCCCCCTTCCCTTTATGTAAATGAATTATACACGATCTCTGCCAATCCTTAGGTACCTTCCCCTCTTTCATACATTTATTAAACAAAAATACCAACCACTCCAACACTATATCTCCCCCTGCTTTTAACATTTCTGTCATCCCATCAGTTCCAGGTGCTTTACCCCCTTTCATTC